TGTACTGAAGAAGTAAGATTTTTAATAAGTCAATTAAATCCAATCAGGTAAAGAATTAAAAAAACAAAAGGTGAGAAAAGATAAAAATGGGCTCACCTCCGAGGGGCGGTGTACCCCACAATGGGTTATATTAGATATAATGATCTGCATATCGCTGACCATACACATCATGATAGACAGCCAAATATACACTATATGGCCAAATGTATGTGGACCCCTCCCCCCCCTCCAATGATGGAGTCCAGGTGTCCCCAAGTGAAGGTTCTGGTGATCATACAAAGACATTGAAGACAATTGGGCTCCTCTAGCCTTGTGGTCACAGTTGGGTGAAGATCCTTTTCTGTCCCCCCCATTACTGTCCCCCGTGTACACAGCCAGCTCCATACAGACACGGTGTGACCGGTTTGTGAAGGCCACTCAAGTTCCTCCACAGTCCTGACCTCAACACTACTGTGCATTCCAATTGTGAGCCAGGTCTTCCCTTCCAACATCAGTACCTGACCTCACAAATGGGACAAAGTCACACAGACACCCTCCAAAATCTTGTGGAATCCTTCCCACAAGGGAGGATGTTAGTCACAGATGGAGGCCAACTCCATAATAGTGGCCATTTTTTGGCCATTGGGGGGCTGCTCTATACTGATGGTCATAGGAGTGTTTTATATTGATGGCCATAGTTTTGCAATGAGATGTCTGCCAAGCTCATATAGGTTTGATGGTAAGGGGTTCACAGACTTTTGGCCATATAGCATTGAATTAGAACATTTCAAAGGGCAAAGAATCAAGAGATTCCATCAAATTGGTCAAACTCTACTGGATCTACCACCAGAACCGGCTGTTCCATTTCCCCCGGGAACGGTCATTTATTGATCGTTCTCAAGTCCCGCATGGACCGCCATGTCTGTTCTTCACCAGCAGAATCTGTAACGTGTCTGTAGTGCCAACCACAACCGGACCCTCGTATTAGGTGCAGTGCAGACCCCGCACACGGCCCCGAGATGCCGACCATTGCACTAAACACACATTCTGAACAAGCCTGCTGTTTACTTCCCATCTGATTTCTTCTCCCACGAGCGTTCCTCATCCGCCGTGCAGCATGGAGCGGAGCCCGTACACGCGGACCGTTGGTGCAAATGATGAAAGCTCCGCCTCCCGTTCCCGTGTCCTCCGTGCTGTGTGCGATCCCGGGACTCTGTCTTCTGTGTGTGTAGATTGATATCTGTGAATGTATCGTCTGGATAGGAGATTTGTAGAGACGGATGTATGATGGAGAGTCGCCTGTAACTCACTTTCCGTATCTTTTTGACGTTCCGCAAAACCTGCCAACAAGTATTAGAAGTTTACGTAGAGCCGTAGCGAGCAGTCTTCTAATCCTCCGTATTCTAGGGACTAATCGAGTATTTTGTCGTCGTCGTCGGTCGATAGCGTTGATATTTTTTTATTATCCGTGTCTACTGAAACTATTTTTTTAATGTTTGAAGATTGCCATCTTTAGCCGCAGAGAAACCCCAAAATATGAAACTGAGAGCACATTGCCCCCCAGAAATGTCACCATTTGACATTCATTCCCC